CTCAAACTTTTTTTGTCATGCCCCCCCTTTAAACCTATAAAAAAATCTGACCTGACCACCTCAGACTACCAAATAATTTCACTAAACATTATGTAAAATGTATACTTTTGTTTTATTTTAAAAACCTACAGGGAAAAAACACCTGCATCACTTGAAACGTTGAAAAATAGAATAGAGAGAATAACTGTTATTATTATTATTCTCTCTCCTGTTATTTATTAATTTTTTTTGTGGGTTTCATGCTGTCTGCTAAGACATATGACACACACAGGCTTTCCTCCTCACCAACGACATTAAACACCATGTACACCGGACGCGAGCGCCAAAATACAGTAGAAACCATTATAATTAATCAGTGATGCTGTCTACATTAGATGCGGCGCGGCGCGACCAGACTGTATAGGGCACAACACGACAAAACCCGACATTAAACTGATGCCTTGTTATATTTATGATGTACTGACACAAAGTTAAAATGACTTGCAACGGTCGCTTTGCCGCGTCCAGTGTAGAGCTGTTGTGCCGCGACGCGACATCTGTAGCGTCCAATACACAAAATAATGTACTTTTTAGCAACATCATATGACCCCTTTAATAGGGAGCCATTGCAAAGCTGACAGAATCGGGCTAACATGGTCATACTTCCTGGTTCTAGTAAGAACGTCTCAGGTTACGTATGTAACCATGGTTCCCTGAGAAGGGAACGAGACACTGTGTCCTCTAGAGGTCGCTATGGGGAACGCCTTCAGCATGACCGGTGTCTGAAGCATACATCTAAACACGACAATAATATTGGCCGGCGACAGCTTGTGACGTCATCACCCGGGGAGAACCGGGGCCTAAACCAACTCAGAGAAAGGGAACGAGGCTGACAGCGCGTAACCCTTACCATACAGGATTTTAGAAAGTGTGCAGAGTGCTTAGTGTGCACACTTACCACAATGTGGATTTTAGAAAGTGCACAGAAGCTCAGCGTGTGCACTTACCATAGCATGGATTTAGAAACACCATTGCTTAAGGTGTAACCGAGGCTGTATTAAGCCAGCCTAGGGACCCTATGTGACTGTGGCACGCTCACAGAACAGAATCCGAAGCATCTGCTCACAGATGCCCAGAAGGGAGCGGCGCACTTGCAAGAGACCCTTCATGGTGAGGGGGGCACACTTAACAAGCAACCCGCCAGGGAGGCAGAAGATGGCCCAGCTACCTGGCATGACTGCTATCCGGAGCTCAAAAGAGCGGAGACCCAACTTCAAAAATAGAAGGGGGACTCGGACACTCAGATTGAGAGGGGTGTGCTCGTATGAAACCCCCAAGGGCACTGCTAAGCTCGACCCACAAGGAGAGTGGCTCAACAGGGAGGCGGTGAGAGGCCTAACAACCTGAGGCTGCTACTCAATGGAGCTCAAACGGCAGGCTCAAAGACAACCCCCCGAGGTGAGGGGAGCACTGCCTGGCTTAACCCAAATAGAGGCAGCTTATTAGGGGAGCAGCAAGCAGCCCAACTACCTGATGTCACTGCCACAGAGCTCAAGAGAGGAGGGTTCAACCCCTAGCGAGGAGAGAGAGGAACCCAGCTCGACCGAAGTGATCAATAGCCCAGGGTCAGAGGACCTAACTCTCAAGTCGAGAGGAGGACTCACCCAGACCGGCAAGCTCAAAGGGACCCTCCCGCAGTGAAGAGCACAGCCATGTCCGGGGAGCAGATAGATCACAAATGGGACATCAGAAATGGGATCCTGCTAGAAGGGGATCACACATTTCTACAGGGAACAACAGGGTCCCAAAATAAAGGCAACTGACCCAGGAGGCAACAGAGATGGGCCTAACACTCCGTTCATTGCAAATGGGGTTTTTCGGGAGCAGCGCTCTCGGCTCTCAAGTTGAGGCGGGGCCTTACAGCACATACTGGGAGCGACTCATAGCTAACCTTCACAGTGAGGGGAGCACTTCTCAGCTTGACCAGAAGGCGGTGCTAGATTGGAAGGGCCAACCAAGCAGGGCCCAATAAGAGACAGTCCATTGGTGCAGCTGGACATGGTCTCATGCTCGCTGTCTCAATAGAGAGCATGGGTCCCATACAACCAGACCCGATAGAATCTGAAGAAATAGCGGGACCCAATAGCCATTCATGCGTACAAAGCTTACTGCTCCTCAGCGCAGAAGCATACAAGAGGGGTTTCCACAGAAACACAAATCCCTCGTACCTCAGGGAATGCAGTGTACTCAAGCCCACTCCACAGAGGGACAATTACTGGTTCAACCATAAAGGCAGTGTGACAGGGAGGACCCATGGGCTTGACCGTCTATGGAGCGTTGAGCTCCTCAACGCCTCAGTGAGAGGAGCTCTAGCTCAGAGAACGTGCATGATGGTTAAGGAAAGACTCAAATCTCAGGAGACCCCTCAGGGTGAGAGATAAGTAGCGCACCCTGGCCAGAGGATAGGGAGTATGTCACAAAGCATGTATTCAGAAGAGTACTAGCCCGCGTGAAGGACCCGCAGGTCCTGAGGTTGCAGCGTTATACTGGGGACCTGATGCTGGGAGGCCTCCACAGGGGACCTGATGCTGGGAGGCCTCCGCAGAAGCCCAGGCTGCGTGTCAGTATCTGGATCAGCTGGATCAGTACCGATGAGTGAAACGATCACTATAATCAGTCAACAGCAAGTCAGAAAACAAAACAGGTCCGAGTAGCACTGCAGAAAAAAGGCTAGTATTGAATACACAAAAGCTAGCAGTAGAGTAGATGAAATGGATCCTACTCACAAACCATGGCTCCCGCGCATGACTCAGGATCATGGATATAGGCTGGAGGCGAAGTCTGAAGAGCACTAGGGTCCGGACCATAAGTAGGTAGTTCTATGAGACATAGAAACTAGCCAAAACATCATAGGCCCAGCATAAGAGACTGTAATGCAAGTGCAGGAGGCTCCTACCTAACCTCAGTCAGGAGGGAAGCTTTTTAGGGGAATTAAGGGAAGGAAGATGAGAGCAGATGTTATACTCTCAGAGGGAGGTGAGTAGATGGCTCAGGTTTTACTCGGGTCCAGACGAGAGCGTTGAGAACGCCTAGTCTGGATCACTTCCCTCAAATCTTGCCTGTCACCCTTAGACCCATGCCCCTTTTGAGCCCTCCCCGCAGGCGGGGGAGGGGCTTGAGTCGCAACACTAGTCTTCTGAGCCCGCCTTTGATCCTTAGATTGAGACGGGCCAGGACCCCTTTCTTGTTCGGGCTCAGACCTTGACCTTCATGGAATGAAGGATTTAAAGGCAGCCGAGCACGTCTTGGCCTCCTTAAACTTCTCGACCACCGTCTCGACGGAAGTGCCGAAAAGTTCAGATGGGGAAACTGGTGCATCAAGAAGAGAGCCCTTCTCTTTGTACCCTATATCCGCCAGATTCCCCCACAGATGTTTCTCCGTAACCACCATTGATCTGCCAATGGCACTGGCGGCCTGCTTAGTGGCACAGAGAGCAAGATCTGTGGTGCGACGCAACTCAGCCATCTCATCAGGGGATAGACCCTGACCTTTATCCAGGTCTTTCAGCAGATCAGCCTGATAAGCCTGAAGCACACCCATGGTATGCAACGAGGCTGCAGCCTGACCTGCTGACGCGTATGCCCTGCCAATTCAAACGAGATGTATCCTGAAGGGGTTTGGACAGCAGGGAGGAAGCCTTAAGAGAAGATGTCTCCCCAATAGACAGATAGCAGGTCAGCATCTCTTCAACAGGGGGCATCTTCTCATAACCATTCTCACGCATCCCCTCGATGTTGGCATAACTATCTATGGATGCGAGATGAGAATGGATTCTTCCAAGCCTTCTCGATCTCCACAGCCATTACCTCAAGCAGCTCATCATACGCGGGGCAGGAGGATTGGGAGGACTCAGTCTCGACTTCTTCGTCCTCATCTGACATCTCCTGCTCATCCTGGCTTGTAGCCAGCAGAGCACTAGCCGCTGGATCAGACGATGCAAAAGAGATAGCATCATCGTCCAGCAGCTCACTCTTGTCCGTGACTGATGAGCGCGAAAAGAGAGACAAACGAGAGCGGAGCTTTTTCATAGGAAACTGCCCCCTCAAGGACATTGCAATATCAGGTGTCAAATAACGAGGACACGGATCCACACACTTCTTAAACGCCTTACTAGTGCTCGCCATGGTAAAGAAGAATAATTTGTTCTTACCGGAAATGCAGGCTTCAAACAAACGAACAAGAGGATGTCTTGTTCTCCCGGCGCCCTTTTATACTGTGGTCGCACCGGGTGATGACGTCACAGGCTGTTGCCGGCCAATGTTATTGTTGTGTTTAGATGTATGCTTCAGACACTGGTCACGCTGAAGGCATTCCCCATAGCAACCTCTAGAGGACGCAGTTTGAAGTTCCCTCGGAAGGGAACTCTTGCTTCTGCATTTTGGACCAGCTGGAGTTTGTTTATTAGGCACGAAGAGCAACCACCCAATAAAGCATTACAACAATCTAACCTAGAGGTCATGAACGCATGAATTAACGTTTCTGCATTTGACATTACGAGCGTAGGTTGTAATTTAGATATATTTTTAAGCTGGGAAAAATGCGGCTTTACAAATGCTAGAAACATGAATTTCAAAGGAAAGATTGCTATCAAATAACACACCTAGGTTCCTAACTGATGACAAAGATTTGACAGAGCAGCCATCAAGTGTTAGGCAGTGTTCTAGATTATTACATGCAGAGGCTTTTGGTCCAATAATTAACGTTTCAAAATGTAGCAGTAGGAGATTACTAGTCATCCAGTTTTTTATATCAGCTACGCATTCCGTTAGTTTTGCAAATTTTGGTTTCGTCTGGCCACAAAGAAATATAGAGCTGAGTATCATCAGCATAACAGTGAAAGCTAACACCATGTTTCCTGATGATATCTCCCAAGGGTAACATGTAAATTGTGAAAAGCAACGGTCCTAGTACTGAGCCTTGAGGTACTCCATACTGCTCTTGTGATCGGTATGACACCTCTTCATTCACTGCTACGAACTGATGACAGTCCGATAAGTAAGATTTTAACCATGCCAATGCAATTCCACTAACGCCAACATGATTTTCTAGTCTATTCAAAAGAATGTTGTGGTTTATAGTGTAAAATCCAGCACTAAGATCCAGTAGCACTAATAGAGAGATACAACCACGATCGGATGATAAGAGCTCTCATTTGTAACTGCTCTCATTTGTAACTTTGATGAGAGCATTCTCAGTACTATGATACAGTCTAAATCCTGATTGGAAATCCTCACAGATACCATATTTCTCTAAGAAAGAACATAGTTGTGAGGATAATACCTTTTCTTTTATTTCTTTCTAATGACAATGATGAATTAATAATATTCAGAAGAGGATCTATGATTTCTGGAAGCACCTGTTTTAGTAGCTTAGATGATAAATATATATATATATAGAGAGAGAGAGAGTATAACATACATGTTGTTGGTTTAGATGAATTAACAAGTTTATACAATTCTTCCTCTCCTATAGCAGAGAATGAGTGGAATTGTTCCTCAGGAAATCTATAGTGCACTATCTGATGTGGTACTGTAGCTGTCAGCTGCATGGTTGTAATTTTATCTCTAATAGTGTTGTGTTTGTGCAGGTTTGTGATCGGGGGGCTCCTCTGGTTTTGCTGGAGCTGCTGGTTTCTGCAGGTGTTCATGAGCAGCAGTTACGTGGAGCTCTGAGCGTGTGTGTCAGGAGGGGCGATGACCTTGCGGTCAACCTCCTCCTCACCCGTCTGGGGCTGGACCACACCAACAATGCCCTGTGCCTCGGGAGCTTCCGCCTCGGAAAAATGAAGGCGATGTGGCTCAGCGCTCTGCTCTCGGAGCGCAAAACCCAGACTCCAATCAACAAGAAGAACAGTGAGTCTGTTCACATGATCTGGCAGTTGTCATGTATTTGACATACATGTTCTGGAGCCATGACCACTTTTACTTCAGTCTGGCTTTGTTTTCTTTATAACAATTTCAGAATATTTCTTCAGTAGAGATTGCCCCGAAATAAAGAAGTTTTGAGAATAATAATTAAAAAAAAAAACAGTTTAGAATATCAGAAAAAAAGGATAAAACATTTTAGGATTAGGATTACTTTATTTGTCCCTAAGGAAATTTGTCTTTGACATAATGGCTGCCACAAACAAGAATACATAGAATTATAATAGAATAACAACACACACACACACACACACACACAAAACATAAGTGTCTTCAATACCTAAAATATTTTATTCTCTATCACACCCCAAAAATAATGTAATGTACATAACTAGCAAAGTATATCATGTTTTTAAAAACAGTATCTATTATGAAAATAATATCCTTTACATGAATATACATGAGTATGAACTGAATGTAATATTTTTGGATACTTAATTGCACATTTATGCAATTAAATTAAAATATGTTAATTGCTGAACTTTAATTGTAATTTCTATTAATTTCTATTTAAACTTGTATGTCATGTATTTAAATATATATTTTTAATTACACATTTCTAATAATGAAGTTGCAGTTTAGTACATTAAAAATCGAAATCTGTAACTTGAAATTTTGTATCGAATAACACACTGGAGTTAAAATTCTAGTCAAGTACTTTACATGTATTTGAGTATGTTAGTCAACACATCAAAATACCTGTAACTGTACTTTAAAGCTCAACAAAAAAATATTAAAACATAATGATTTAAAATGTACTTTAAAATAAAACTTTTGATTTGACATTACAAAGTGCACTTTTTTACCCTTTAACTGATATCTCTACCACATGGTTGAGAAATGCATACACAATAAATACAGTAAATATTTTGCATTAAAAAAAGAACTTTCGCAGAAAGTTTCAAATTTGCCAAGTTGAAATCACTTGTCACTTCATGGTTTCCAGTAAAACATATGGCATAAATAACATCCTTGTTATTTTCAATACACTGATTTAACCTTTTTTTTTGCACTTTATACACAGTACAGTATGTAGAGAATTGAAATCTACTAACTAAAATCTAAAATCAGCCTGACTGTTGTTGGTAAATCTTGTCCTTGTGTCTTTCAAGGTAAAGGTCAGCGTTTGGCCAGACAGATCTTGTCACTCCAAAGAAACAAAGGGTTTTTGGGAGTTGGTAGATTACGGAGTGATGCCAGCACATCAGAATATTTCACAGATGAGGAAAGTGACGACTCACACATTTCCTTAGATGAAAGCTTGGTCTTTATGTTTGATGAAATGGAGAGTGATGGTAAGATGATTCTCGCATAAATACATGACAAACAAGTCATTTCAGTGGATGTGGGTCATTTTTCGTTGCCTTTTCAACCTCTTTATTTGTTGAACATATTTGGATGTATTGATAATTATTGAATTATTCAGAATCAATATAGATATGAATGCAATAGCTATAAATGCAAGTTAATTTAATCTGCATAATATCATTTTCTATATTATTTGTCTGAAAGAATGCATGTTTTCCATTGGTAGGGAGCGATGGGCCTTCACAAGGATTGTTGCTTTTCAGTGATTCCCCAGAAGTGGGCAGGAAACCTGCTTGGAGACATCACAGTCGGCGTAGACGTGCCAATTCAGAGGTACCAGAAACAGACACACTTTTGGTGTTCTTTGTGCTTGGATTTTAACAATGATTTTAACCATTTTAATGTCTTTCTACAGGGATGCCATGGTGAGACAGATCCAAGTGTCCCTCTACATAAGCGGTTTAACTCTAACACTAGAGGTACACATTAAGAGCTGTCTGACTTGATAACTAGTCCTAAAAAGTTCACTTGTTACATCTGTCTTTTTTGTTTTAAATGTACAGGGCAGGCTTTTATTGAAAGCTCCACTCCTGCTGCTCTTCCTCTGGCCGTGGACAAAGAACCCATCCGTCTGCTCGACCTTTCAGGGAATGAGCTGGGCAATCTGTCCTGTTTGATGGGTGTGAGCGCTCTCAAACAGCAGATTGAAAACCTTCTACGGCTTGATTTGAGCAGCAACAATCTATCAGAGTTTCCCAGTGTTCTCTGTCAGGTAGAAACATTTTGACAGTGTGATTAAAGCAGTGTTATTAAAGTCAACATGAAACAGTTTTTGAAACCCATTCTCTAATGTTCACAGAAATATTGTGACTGCACATTTTAGTTATTATCAGTTCTAGTTAGGGCTGCACGATATTGGAAAAAACTCACATTGTGATATTTTGTTTTTCTGCGATATATATTGCGATATGAAAAAAAAATCACCAGATGACTTGAATAGCTCTATTTGGAAAAAAAAAATCAATGATTGGGGTGATTTTGTAGGTGAGTAAATCAGCATAGGAAATAAACAAATTATAAGCATAGATAAATATAACTGAACAAAGATACAAATGAAATGAACAGTGCTTTACATTTTTCAGGTAAGTCTAACAGTATTCAGGTACAGAAATAATCAAATGTAAAATAACACTGAAAAGTCTTCAATGTATAAATTAAATCTAATAAATCTGTGTTAAAGCTACAAAATTTTCTCACACATCCATTTTCTTTCTCAATTTTTCACCTTCACCTAAGCCATAAGCAACTGTGTTTACAAGGATAATTGCAGAGACATGCATTTTGACATAATTTCGCGCATATGTGTCATTTATAGACGTGGAAGTGAGCGGAATTCAGAGTTCACGTGCAATTGCGTGGCTCTACACTGGTGTGACGCGACAAAATTCTATGAACCCATTATAATCAGTGATGCTGTCTACACTGGATGCGGTGCGGTGTGACAAATCCCCGACAGTAAACTGATACTGTGTTCTATTTATGACGTACTGACACACAGTTCAAATGATGGTCGCTTTGTCGCGTCCAGGGTAGACAGACTTTATTGCGGCGTGGGGCGGCACGACACGACAGATTTCGCGTCCGGTGACACGGTGTCTGTGTGTGAGCAAAGAAAATGATCAGTATAAATATAACGGTCAGTATACTAAACATCGCACATCCTGCAATGTGACTATCGCGGATGCACACATCGCGATATCGATGCTGAAACGATATATCCTGCAGCCCTAGTTCTAGTATTATGAACGGAATCATAACAAATGAGATTAGGTTAAGTTCCCTTGTGAAAAAGAAATACACTTAAGGACGAAGTATACTTCAGTTTTTACAATTACGCGAGGGTCTGCTATACTGGGTAATTACACATATTATGTCGCAATTTAATATATAAAGTACATTTAACGTATGTTAACTTCAAATGTAATGAAATAACATTCTACTATTAAAAAGATAATCAAGATTATGTGCTTTAGTTTGTTAGGCAATTACATCAAAACAAGTGTGCTTCTTTAAATCACAACAGAAGATTATCAAAACATTACTTAAAATGTCAATTCAAGTCACCTGGGGGCAGTCGTGGCCTAATGGTTAGAGAGTCGGACTTTGAACCTGAAGGTTCGAGTTTCAGGTCCGGCAGGGATTGTAGGCGGGGGAAGTGAATGTACAGCGCTCTCTTCCACCCTCAATACCACGACTGAGGTGACCCTTGAGCAAGGCACCGAACCCAACTGCTCCCCGGGCGCCGCAGGAATATGGCTGCCCACTGCTTCGTGTGTGTGTGCACTTGGATGCGTTAAATGCAGAGCACAAATTCCGAGTATGGGTCACAATACTTGGCCACATGTCACTTTACTTTATTTATATAGTGCTTTATACAATACAGATTGTGTGTCAAAGCATCTTTACAGTGTTAAACAGGAAAAACGTGTGCTGTTTAACACTACAAGAGGACAATAGTAAACAGTAGATTTTTCACTTAAAGTCAGTTCATTGTTGATTCAGTAATGTCATCATCCAGCTCAGTTCAGTTCTCTTCAAATAGTGTCTATGCAATCAAGTCAACAATATTGCCAGAAATTGTGTCCCCAACTAAGCAAGCCAAAGGCGACAGTGGCAAGGAACCAAAACTCCATAAAAGTTCCAGAAGTTCATAAAGTCATTACTGCTGTGCTGTTGGGAAATGTTTGTGTTGTGTTAATTTAGCCACTGTAATGAATAAATAGGGTTATGTTTGTTTTCTTCTAAAAAGGGACTAAAAGTAAGCAGATCTAGGAGTTTTTAAGGCTTTTCTGTATGTAGAAGTACTTTCCCTCCATGCAATACGAAATACCTCTAGTTTTGTTTTCTTCCAGCTGCGCTCCATTTTCCGGGCTGCTTTCTTTAGGGTGTGAGTGTAGTCATTAAACCTTGGTGTTGGACTGTTGTTCTTAATCTTCTGTAAGCTTAAAGAAGCAACCATATCTAAAGTGCTAGAAAACAGAGAGTTTATAGTTTCTGTTACAACAAGTTTTTCTGTGCTATTGGATATGCTGATGAATTGAGACTCAAGTCAATGATTTCGACAATGAGTAGGTCCTGAGACATATTGTCTAACCCCAATGGAGTTCAGAATGTCTACAAATGCTGATCCCAATGCATCTTTTTCATTATCAACATTTATATTAAAATCACCAACAACTAAGACTTTATGTGTGTCTCATGTTTATAACAGTAATCTTGGGGGAGGGGGTAGACTCATTTAAAGTAATGTAATCATCTGGTTTTAGCCAGGTTTCTGACAAACAGAGCACATCTAGGTTATGATCTGTGATCATATGATTTACAGAAAGCACTTTCATAGAAAGGGATCTAATATTCATTAAGCCATTTATTAGTTGTTTATCTGTATTATATCTGTTTATTATTTTTGAACATCAATTAACTTGTTACCCTTAAATTTGTTTGGACATTTTTTGTCTAAAAAACTAACTTAGTAACTTACATTGATTTATAGGGTAATGGCGTTTTTTTTGTGCCAAATAAATACTGCTTTAACTGTATAATCTGATTAGTATCTAGTAAATATCTAGCTAGTAATTAAAGTACATCTTTAATGTCTGTTTTGATTGTTGTTTTGTCTGTTTTGTGTTGATATGGATCATCATTTAATCTGGGGATTATTTCCTAACCATACTCAATACATTTTTCCCAGCAATTTATTAAAAGAGTTTTATTCGGTTGTGAATTTTTTATTTTCTTAGAATTTAAGAAGTCTTACCCGTCTAGATCTTCAAGGTAACCAACTGCAGTCACTTCCTGTGGAACTTCTGGGTTTGCCTGCATTAAACACACTCAATGTTTCTCGCAACTGCATTGGTCCTCTTCTGCTGCTGGACCCAACTGTGCTCAGTCCAGCCTTACGCCAGCTCAACCTGTCCTTCAACCAGATCACCGTCTTCCCCTTCCAGCTGGGGCAGGCCATGGACAGACTGGAGGAGCTCTCGTTGGAGGGGTAGGTTATGGGATAATAGTTTTTCTAGAGCACTGGTCTACTGTAATTTCTCAAATTTATTCTTATGGTTTTCTTATTGGATATACGCAAGTTAAAAAAGGGTTGTACAAATTGACTGCATTTGTTTTTTTTCTTCAGAAATCAGATATCAGAACTGTCTCTCCCGCTCCGCCTGGCTGAATTGAAAGTTTTAGACATCAGTAAGAATCAAGTTAAAATCATTTCAGATAATTTCCTCACTGAATGTCTCAAGTTGGAAACTTTCATCGCTTCAGTTAACAAAATCAGTAAGTTTTCCCCTCTTTACTCTCTTAAAAAAATATTTGTAATTTTTCATCAAAATATATTGACTTGAATCAACTCTGAAACAACATTCCTTTTTGGCTGACAGCAGCTTACCTACATAGGCTGTCGGTTAATGTTAGTCAGTAGGCAAATTGTTTTGTTTTATTATTATTCATGTATATAATTTTAATTTGTTTTAATCATTTGTCTAGGTGTTTTTGTAATGTGTATTTTTTATATTTTTACGTACTGTAGCTTTAATTTATTTAATAGTGTTAGTTTTAGTTAAGAAAAATAACATTTTAAGCTACATGCAGTCTTTTAAAAATCTTTACAATACAGGTGCATCTCAATAAATTAGAATGTCGTGGAAAAGCACAGTTACGTTTGGGATCATTTTATTTGAAATGCCATAATGTCAGCTGAAAACATTGCAATTGTGTTTTAAAATACAACAACGAGCACCACGAAACCATTTACAGAAGGCACGTTCAGCGGTCCCCGTGACGGCATAGGAAACAGTCACTTAAGTAAAATGATCTCAAACGAATTCTCTTATTTTATCAAATGATCTTAATCACATCTATTAATTTTACAATCCTGCTACTAGCATTTTATTCAGACTAAATCCCCTTTAAATCGGGTGAGAAAGTGGGGTTGTTTTTTTTTTTGAGTAACTTTTGCACATCCTGTCATGCCGGGCTGCATAGACGCGTTTTGCAGCATTAAGGTTAACGATTAATCAATTAATTGATCATTAATTGAAACGACGATCGATCATGGAAATGATCGAAAATTGACATCCCTAGTGTCAATGATTGTCTTCTGGACAACTGTCAGATCAGCAGTCTTCCCCATGATTGTGTAGCCTAGTGAACCAAACTGAGAGACCATTTTGACGGCTCAGGAAACCTTTGCAGGTGTTTTGAGTTGATTAGCTGATTGGCATGTCACCATATTCTAATTTGTTGAGATAGTGAATTGGTGGGTTTTTGTTAAATGTGAGCCAAAATCATCACAATTAAAAGAACCAAAGACTTAAACTACTTCAGTCTGTGTGCATTGAATTAATTTAATACACGAGTTTCACAATTTGAGTTGAATTACTGAAATAAATGAACTTTTCCACGACATTCTAATTTATTGAGATGCACCTGTAGTTTACACATTAATTTGATGGCAGATAACAATTAATATAACGCACATAGAGCTACAGCATTAAAAGAAGCCGCCACAAAATGGTATTGGGTGCTTACTATTCACCATCCATTCAGCTCATGTGGGATAATATCAAGTTCTCCACTGCTTATTTTCTCTCTGAATATTCAGTTTCAGTCGGCCATGTCACATTACAGAGGTGAAATAGTTTTTAAACAGCGTTTCATGAAAATGATAATTCTGTAAAATTGTGTTTTGTTTATCACTACTGTTGTTATTAACACTCATGTTTTCATACAGGTTCATTGTCACACCTTCCTTCAAAGATAACCACTGTTAAATTATCACAGAACAATTTCACAACTGTTCCTGAAATAGTCATCAACTTGCCAAAGTAAGTGTTTTTTGTTTCTGCATCGTGTCTGCAGTAATGCACTTACAGTTGAAGTCTGTGTGGCAGGGTATTCCACCAGAATAAATGTTAAAATACATGCTGCAACCACAAGACTTCAAGATTATACTGTACACGCTAACATGAGACACGTTAAAAGTCTTAATAATTGTATAATGAATTAATATAAACTGGTCAAAGATGCTGTTAATAAAGCCTAACTTGTTTTGAACCTGGAATGTTTCTTTGAATACACAAACTCTTTTTCTGGATAGTTTGCGTTCGGTGGACATGAAAAATAACAGTATTAGTGTTCTGCCGGGTCCATCTTTCTGGGTCGGTGCAAACCTGAGAGAGCTGATGTTCAGTCATAATCACATCTCTGCGCTCGACCTGAGCGGCCCGGTGTACAAGTGGGCCAGACTGGAGAAACTTCATTTAAGCTCCAACAAACTGACTGAGGTATGATTCATAACACGCTCTGATTCAACTGAACACTGCAGTTTTGGTATATTTGTTTGTTTGTCTTTTGTGCTTTAGATCCCTCCTCAGATCGGTATGTTGGAGGACCTGACGTCTCTAGATGTTAGTCAGAATGAAGGTTTGCGCTCTTTCCCTGATGAGATGGGAAAGCTGGTTCATTTATGGGATCTACCTCTAGACGGTCTGCAGCTCCAGATGGACCTCAAACACATTGGGAACAAAACCAAAGACATCATCAGGTCTAAATCTAGACATTATTCCTTGCTTGCGTTTTAGCTTGTACAGTAAATGCATCAGTGATCAGTTGCCATATCTGTGGTGTTGTTCAGATTTTATTTTATTTTATTTTTGGGTCAGTATTGTCAGACAATAATATTCGATCTTGTTTGTCAAATAATATATTCTTGTATACTTGTTACATGTAAATCTTAGAATTCTGATTATATTGTGTTTAGTATTTATCTTTTAGTGCTGTTTTATAATACCAGCTATTACAGTTTAAATGTTGTTCTGTTTTCCTAGAAACTTAAGTTTTAAGAAAAGTTAGGGAGGTGCCTTTTAATATGGCCACCTATAATATCTTGTTTCAAATGCAAATATCTTGTCAAGCTATTTCGAGACTTTTCTATTGGTTCAGAATGTGAACGCTGTGGTTCTTACAGGTTCTTGCAGCAGCGTCTGAAGAAAGCTGTCCCGTATTACCGCATGAAACTCATTGTAGTCGGCAGCCCATGTAGCGGGAAAAGTTCTTTGATTCATCAGCTGATGAGACTCAAACGCTCTCAGTGGCGATCTGATCCGCACACCGTCGGCGTCAGCGTCAGAGACTGGGTCATCAAAAACAAAGACAAGAGGAACATGCTGCTGAATGTTTGGGAGTTCTCAGGTAAGCATCTGCACAATGCTAGCATCATATCAAATATGGAAAAATGTCAATAGGAAATAGCAGGTTTTTCTCTTTCTGTTGATGTTGTGCAGGTGGTGAAGAGTACAGTGGATTTCACCCTCACTTTATGAGCTCCAGGGCGCTCTATCTAGTCCTGTATGACCTGAGTAAAGGACCCAGCGAGATAGACACTATCAAACCCTGGCTCTTTAACGTTAAAGTAAGTTTAACATTTAGCTCCTTCTAGCAAGTAGTATCAAAAGATTCGTTGTACAAATACAAAACCAGACCAAACTGTTATTGTGGAACATTTGGTTTAGATTATAAAAGAACATGATATATATACTTATACTGTGTTTTTCTCAGGCCGTAGCTGGACAGTCTCCTGTGATTGTGGTTGGAACTCATGCAGATGTGTGTGAAGAGCACCACCTACAGGAGTGTGTTCTGAAGCTGCAAGAGGAGCTGCTGTCTCAACCGGGCTTTCCAGTGATCAAACAGAACCACATACTATGTGCCTGTCAGGAGTCTGACTCCATCAGCAGGTTGCGCAAAGCCATCAGTCGGGAGCTCATTGGGTTCAAGGTGATTTACAAAATGTAGTTTTTCTTGGCACTAATTAGCAAATATTATCATTGATTTAAACCAATAAATTGGATTACTTTTAAAAAGCCCCATTAAAGTAGTCAATATAAATGTTGGTTATAATTTAAAGGGGTCATATGATGTTGCTAAAAAGAACATTATTTTGTGTATTTGGTGTAATGAAATGTGTTTATGCGGTTTAAGGTTCAAAAAACACATTATTTTCCACATACT